TACCACCACAGCTCAAGAAAGAGATACGGATCCATGTGAAACCGCGTCGCCGGCAACACCAGAGGATAGCCGACCCTCGCCCACGTATCTTAGCTAAGCCGCATGGAACATGCGAATACATACCCATACTCACGTGAACCGCCGAGCACTCGCATAGGCCCTAAGCCAACGCTCGCCTCTAAACATGCGCCTTCGAACCCATAAAATGGCATTAAAATGTAACTCAAAGAAAAATATGAACTACTTCCATCATAACTGTCCTGAGTACCGCAAACCAAGATTAAAAGCGTGATCAGGACCCTATAAAACCTTTTCGCCCCTTGCTCGTCTGTCAATCCTCTTGCCGGCACATATAACTATGAAAAAAAACAGTAGAGATATCTCGAGATGCCCTGCTACACTCCAGGAATTGCAAATAAATAATCACTATTTTGTATTGTCAGCCAAACTACATTAGCCATCTATGAATCACAACCCTCGTCAACTTACCTCATACCATTCCATTATGTCTTCATAATTAGAAGCTCTCATGAATTCTAGACACTCAACATAGATGAGCCGCCTCAACACTAGACTCAATTGGCCAATTGATTCACACTAAAACGCTTGACACGATTCTGGCCTCGGTTATGTCAACTGTTAATTCCACCTGTGTTGCCAATAGAAGAAAACTCGCTTCCAATGTGCTGCCGCCTGTAAACCGCCGGCAATAAATTATAACGCCCTTTAGCTGGGTTATGACTAACAACACTTTAGCTGCATTTCTATAACTAGAGAGAGAGAGCAACACGTACAGCACACATACAAAAACCGCGCCCGCGGCCGCCGCGCGCGGCGCACAACACACTAACACCACCACACCACACACACAGCACACACTATACATCACCACACACACCCCCATATCAACACACCACCCGTCAACGCCAGCACACACTTCGCCACACACACGCCACATCACACACCACACACACACACACACACACACACACACACACACAATGCACTCTAAGCCGCGAACACACGCACATCCTACAAAACGCACACACCGCACAGCGCGCGATACACACACACACATAACTCGCACCACACACACACCACACACACACACACACACACCAAACACACACACACACACACACACGACACACACACACAACACCACACACAGCCACAAACTGCTGCGCAGCCGCACCAAAACCCACTTCAACGCAACACATCGCAACCGGCACACCACACACACACACACATCACGCACACACACACTTTCACACACATACACATAACATACACACACACAATACCCAGCACACACCGCCACACACACACACACACGGTCGCGGGCACCACACCCACAAGCACGCGCGACACACACACACATACACACACACACACACACACACACACACACACACACACACACACACACACACACACACACACACA